AACAATTTTCGGTTTCTAGCAGTTTATACGACATAAAGAAAATTAGGAATTAGTTATTTTTATGAAATAATCTAGTGAGAAATGATTTATTGATCGACATCGAAAAGACATCGAATCGACGTCGAAATGACGATCTATTAGATATCGATAAGACATCGAAATGACGGTCTATTAGACATCTAAATGTGGACCGTTTTTAGGTCGATATAGATCTTAATCTAGATTAGACGTAGATGGTAGATAGACGTTTCATATAGACGTCTAGTATATAGTCTAGTATATAGTCGAATCGACGTAACCTTTCTCGCTAGGGCAGTAGCTATCAAGACTAGGACTAGGGGCGGTATTCATAGTCGAATCTTATTTCAAGACCGTCTTAAGTAATGTCTTAAGATGCGAATACGGCTCTGTGATTGGTTCATGACATCTTAAGACAGTACTTAAGATGATCTTAAATATAAGATTGGACTATGAATACCAGCCTATGACTACCAAGCGGAATAGGTAAGGTAGTTCGAGTTCGAGTTTGAACTACGGAGGGATATATGAAGTAATTTTTTTTTCTCTATGCGTATTGAGAAACTCTCAGTAAATTCTTCTTTAAGTTTTAACATAGAAGAAACGAAAAAAGTTACTATTTATAGCATCAAAAGGTATTTGTATTATCGAAAATTATGTATAATTATGTACAATTTTATCTATTTAGATATAATTATGTATAATTATATATGGACAAATTTTATATATAATTTTGTATAATTTTGTATAAGCATTTTTGCAAAATTATGTATGAAAAATTTTTCATCGGGCTTAAATTTCAAATAAAGTTAGCAAACGCTAACTAGTTTTTTATTTCAACCAATTTGCCAATATTTATAAAAAAGTGAAACTGTTTGTGCTTTTTTCTTTGTCATCGAATCCTTGTACATTCTATGAATATTCCGGAATATTTTGGAATATTCTTGGAATGTTAATTTTAGATTCTAGGAACATTTTATAAAAATTCCAGGAATATCTAGCTTTTACTGGGAAAATACCCATCTACGTGATTCATATAAATTACGTGGATTTGACATGGATATCTATTTTCTTTTCCACGTGGATTCTAATACCGTTTTCGAGCGGATGATCTACTCGATGTTCCATGTGATGTCGACGTTGATGATCTACGTGATAGCGACGTGGATTCTACGTACCTGTTTTTGTCGGGTAATTGCAACACATATAAATAAAATATAAGACGTTTATATCGATCGAAGAAGTAGTGTAGTGTCTAAAGCAATAGGTTCATAATCCAAAAGTGCCTCAGGTCCAAGTTCGAATCCCAGTGTTAGTGAAAAGTTTTTAGTGTGATATTGTATTTGGAATCAAGTAATCTTAAATTTCAAGTAAAGTCAGGAGAAACGCTTACTGGTTTTTTATTTCAACCAATTCGCCAATATTTGTAAAAAAGTGAAACTTTTTGCGCTTATTTGAATATTCTTTGTACATTCTACGAATATTCCGGAATATTTTGGGGTACTGTTGGAATGTTAATTTTGGATTTTAGGAACATTTTATAAATATTCCAAGAATATCTAGCGTTTACTGGATAAATGCCTATCCACGTGATTTATATAAATTACATAGATTCGACGTGGATACCTGTTTTCTTCTCCATGTGGATTCTAGTACCGTTTTTGAGCGGATGATCCGCTTGATGTTCCACGTGGATATCGACGTCGATGATCCACGTGATTAGGACGTGGATTCCACGTATCTGTTTTTGTCGGATAGCGACTACAGAGAGAAACATTGTTACTGTATCAAATGGTACAGCTGTCAGTCTCTCAAAGTTAAAGATTGCTATCCTTTAAGACTTGCTGTGCATGTATGTTCGGAAATATTAAAGTAATATCAAAAAGTAAACATTTCATACACACACACACACACACACACACACACACACACACACACACACACACACACACATACGAGATATTTTATATCTTATGCTGAATAGTATTAAAATAAACTAAAATATTTCGGGAAACATTCCCTTATAAATAAATAAATAAATAAATAAAATATTTTGGGAAGCATTCCCTTTTCTTACTTTAAAACTTTTATACGCAAAATAAAACTGGAGGCATTGATTTATGTTAAAAAAATTATATGACTTTATTAAAAATAATTAAAGTTGACTTTGAAATAACAGTTAAAAATATTTTAATGATATAATAATATTACTATCTCATACCCTCTAAAAATGTTATAATTTTTGTTTAAAATTTTTTTTCAAATGCATTTCTTCTGAGGCATTAGTCTATAATACACGCGTATGCGTGTATATATGTATATATATATATATATATATATATATATTTACTGTTCAGCTGCAGTTTTAGAATACTGAAGACTTTCGCAAATTTGTATAGCATAGTTTGTTTTGCTCAACAAAGAATCGCGATTTTTTATATTGATGTTTAATCTCGCTAGAAGATTTATCCGTTGCTTGAATTGGTCGTCAAATCTAGTCACAGAAAAGAATTTTGTGCATTAAATTTGAATATATTACACATAATAATATTTTAATAAAATATCTTAACTGAGAAACTATGTATAAATACCATTTATAGAATTTTTAATATATAACTGACGACAATCGAAGGAACAAGCATTTAAATTATAGATTAGAAATTGAATATATACCTCAATAACAGGTCATGATAAGAGCGTACGAATAGAATCTCTTTCACTTCATCGCAGATATCCTTCAAATGTACTAACTGTTTATCTATTATTTTGTCAGCAGTCGATTCGTCAGTATTTTTTTTTATGAGAACAGTATCGCTCTGTAAACCGTTAAAAACGATCAAGAAAATGTCTTTATAAATTATCGTACCAATCATTATTAAGAAATAGTCACTTGCCTCAACGCGTACCAAAGACAGCGCGTAAGCCCATAAATCCCGTACTTGAAAACGTACATTATTCAGCATTTGTTCTCTGATTCTCATATTATGCAAAATGACGCGAGTCGCTTGTTTATACTTTTGTCTGACGTCGTCTAAATTTTCTGCTGCCAGCTGACCCATCACCGTCACCCTCAGTATCGTTTTGCACTGTAAACATTGGTCCTCTTTCAAGATGTTCAACAAGGTATCGAAGAACATCGCATCCTACAAAAATTACAGCATTATTTGTACACGTACAACGTAACAATATAAAAGAAATCGATACATGTTCCCAGTGAACAATAACATTATACGAATAATATAACTTTCCACTCAACAATGGTTGCTTTCCAGCAAGAGACACAGGCGACAAAAAGTAACAGTGTCCGACATAATGCTTTTCTACCACGACATAACATGACGCAAATATACACAACTGAAGAGCTGAGTCAGCATTTGTATATCGAATTCATGGGGGGG